TTAAGTATCAATACAGAATCCTATTTGCACAGTATCACGCAAGTGCCTTCCTGCCCTCAAGAACCGGAACTACATTGGCCGTACGAGCTAAGAGAAGGTTGAGAATTGCGAATCTAGTGTAGATAGTGATAACTGGATAATACATTGGCCAGATCCTACAACCTAGTGAGCTTTTCATTTACTTGTGCAGATCCGACAGGTTAACTTAATTTACTACTTGGTCGGTTACACCCTAGAGGTTCTCAACTCTCAAGATCCCGTCACAGGAGGCGGCAAGTACGACGCAAAACTAAACGCAAAGGCAAGGGACATACCCGCAAGGCAACCCTATGGCCAGATCCACGATCTAGGCCCCGGATCCATAAGCTCGAATATTCGCTTAGGATTCGGAACCATCCACGGACGCAGAGTGAAGGTTTTCCACACCCCATCCCCACGTCTCGCCAAGACACTCAAGCTTCACCACTTGAACTCTTCGGAAGTTACCGAGAGAGCAAGACCCCGCCCTACCGACGGGTACACAAGGTGAGGAAAGTTCAGCAGAACACGGATCATCGGGGGACCCCCTCCGTTAGTCGGTGTCTGGGCGCAGTTGGTAAGTTGGATCCATGCTGACTTAATAGCCGGGGGGGGAAAGAAGGCCCGCCACCTACTTTTTGTAAAAGGTACCAGCTTTATTTTGCGTTTTAGGCCAGGAAATGAAGACGCTCCCACGGCGCTTCGAGCATCGCAGACACTCTCGTCACTACAGGCGTCAAACCAGCACGAGGGACCATCGCTCAGATAGCACCTCACCTGGGGTCGACGGGAATGTGGTAAAAGGACCTAAAATGTGTTGTAAGTCGGTCCGTGACCTGACTCGAAATACACTAGAACATGATCAAATTGCTTCGCGGCAGCGTCCTTGGTGCGTGCCACAAACACTCTGCAGTAGTTGCTTTTGCGGTCAACAAATTTGATCATGTAGCGGTTGTTGAGCCGGTCCCTCGGGGTCATTGGGCCCTTGAGGTCCGAGCAGATTTTTCCACCGACTCTATCGATCGGCGAGTGAGCTCCGCTGTCCTTGGTGGACTGTCGATTCTTACTCTGCTTTCCTTGTGCACATGTAAGACAGTTAACGCGCTTTCGATCTGTGAGCTTGATCCCGGGGCTCGGGTCGCGCGCAAAGCGCTCAACAGCGTCGTAGTTGAGATGTACCAGTCTTCTATGTAACTCCACCAGAGAACCCTTTTGCACTGCGCTGTTCGCATCACCCGAGGCACCCGCCTAGCCGCCCAATGCGGCCATGATCACATCCGATACGGCCTTGTGCGCCTTCTCAACCTCACCACAAACTACCAATACGTTTCGCCGCAATCCAACATCGAAAGTAACTATGCCTCCGTCCTTGGCAGCCGCGACACGCTGCCCACCTCGATAGGTCAGCGTGAATCCTTTCTCGTCCAATTTGCCGTACGAGATCAAGTTATGCACGACTCCTGCGGCATAGTACACATCAGTCAACTTGAAGATCTTCTCAGCACCGCACGCCGACACCCGCAGTGTCAGAGTGCCCTTCTTCGTCACGCTCAACGGTTCTCCGTTAGGTTGCAGGCACACGTCGTCTACCGACTCAATCTCGTCGAGCCAAGACTCATTACTTACTAGATGGCTGCTCGACCCACTGTATCAACTCGTTGTTGTCACCGGCTGGCTTGTCCCGCAAGGCAAGCGTCAAATCCGGCACTTTGCCGTGGCCTCGACCACGATCTGGATAGTCTGCTCGCAGATGCCCAATTCGTTTGCATTCGCGACACCGTCGCGTCTCCTTGTTGCGTTGCTCACCCACTGTAGCGACGACTTCCTTGCCGAGATTCCTGTTCCTTGTAGGCTCGGGCTTGCGCAAAATGGGCGAGCTCCTCCGCTGGTTGCAGGTAATCTTCTGGTTCCGTCCCCCTTGGCCATCAGTACGGTACGTAAGTCCGCGGACGCGTACTGTACGATGTTATTCGGTGCCAAGTAGTATGCGCTGCCTCCGCAAGCCTCCGATACAGCTACCATGTACATGTAGTGCTCGGGCCACGATCTCTTGACGTCCTTGGCCATCATGAAAAGCTTCATAGCTTGAGCTGGGGTGATGTTCGTTTTGAACGCCTCCAGCATTCTCTCCATCACGTACTGTAGGGTAGACAGCTGTCCCCACCAGGCCTCGACCTGCTTGTGGTAGTATCGTTCAGCTGTACCCGCCAAGAAATGCCCCAGTAGGTCGTCTTCAGGCCACGCGAAGCCACACGCCGACTGTGCGATGTTGACTTGGCGCTCAAACCGTCTGCCCCACTCGAGGAACCCAGACCTAATGCTATACGGATAGCGGATCGCAGCGTTTTGATTCATGGCTGGGAACCTCCCGGCTCCAGCCTGCTGCGCGTCCTGTCGCTGCGGTGCAGCCATCGCCGGTTAACAGCCTGTGCTGCATCATACAATCTCTGCAGGTGCCACGTCAGCATTCCGTATCCTGGTTGATGTTGCCCGAAGTACTGCGGTGGTACCGCTGGTCTTCGCGGCGTCGCCGTGTACGAAGTCTCTGGCGATCCCGCCAGAGAGTCTATATGCATCCGTACTCCGCGCCCGAGTCCTGTGGCAAACAGGCTCGAGCGCATAGGTGGTGTCGTAGGCACACTGACGTCGCGCGCGGCGTCCTCGTTTTCCCGATCTTCTCATGAAGCTTCGACTGCGACTCTTTAAGTTTGTCCAGTCGTCCGGCCAGACCATGCATGAGATCCAGCAGCTCGCTGTCGCCCGCGGGGCGGCCGTCGGGGTTGTTGTTGTTGCACCTTTCGTGAGCAACAGCGGTGCTCTCATCTTCGACGTCGTCAGCCATGCCAACCCTTTCCCGATTGGCAACAAGTACTGGCGTCGTCGCTGGTGCTTCGTCGCCGGCAGCCTCGTCGGTGACTCTGGTCATTGGGCTCATTACCTGTTGTAAGTCGGTCCGTGATCTGACTTGTTAACACTTGTATGCACACGAGGCTTCTTACGCAAAAGAGAGAGTGTTTAGTTTAGACCTCGTCCAGGACGAGGTCTAAACTAAACACGGGACGCCTACAACTTCCTATTCACCTTCTCATTCTTCTTCGTGCCTTTTCAGCCAATCAATGGCCTCGACCACTGTGCTGATCTTGGGGGCCGTCGCAGCAGCCGACGCTCGCGCACCTGGCTGAGGATCAACCAATACGTCGTCTGTACCACTGTACTTCGACAAAATGGCTAGCACAGCACTACATTAGCTGACATGTTGATGGCGATAATACCTTTCAGGACAAGGGTGGCGACAGGGAGGAACACATTGATCCTGATGACATCGCTCCATATGACGACACATATTATGTAGATAACTATGCCGATTTTTTATATGGATATGGAGACCGTGATGGATGATGCTAGTGGTGCGCACACGGACGCCAGCAGGTATCGTTGCTTTGGTAGCGCTTGAAGCGGCCATCTTCGTGTAACGATGCTGAAGCTGCAGCGGATGGCGCGCCACTCCCTCATTCGTCTATAGCTTCTACAGACGCACGACCAATTGCCTGTCTCGGCTTTTTGCGAGGTCATCATGTAGCTCGCTTACAACCTGTTCTAGACGTCGATTGACATCGCGAAGCGCCTCAAGAGGAGTGGAGGCCCGTAAATCATAGCCAAGTGTTAATTGCTCAAAATAATGATGTTCGTAGCTAATGATGTCTAGAAAGCAGCGTTCACGAGCTCACGTTGAAGGGTAAAGGAATCAACCTTTTTAACAGTATATTTAAGTATGATGTTACACGGGTTTCTGAAAAGTCGTGGGTTTTTTCAAAATCGTTTTTTTTTTTTTCCTAATTTAAAAATAAGTTGACGAAATAAAAGTAGGCAGTGCCTGCGTGCACTTGTCATTTGGACCTTGAATATTCAATTGCTCAACCGAGGATTAAAAAAGTCGGTACCTTATTTGGTACCTGCTTTTGGTAAGTGAAAGATTTTTGTTTTTTTCAATAAAAATATTTTGTCTTGTACAGTAAGCTTAAAACCAATTCCAAATGGCGGACGAGCAGACACGCACCAGAATGGAACCCCCGAGCCTAGAGCTAAAGCAGTTTGGCCGCGAGACAAAAAACCTAAAGCACAAGCACAAGAGCAAGCGCAGTGGAAAGTGTGACGCCAACAAGGGTGGGGAGCTTAAGCGTACACCGCCGTCCGCGGTGCCGCCCGGCCGTCACCATGCCCACTCCAAACGCAACTCAAAGGCCAACCGCGAGGACGCTTTGCGAGAGTTACTCGCGGGAAAGATAGCGGAGATTGAAGTGGGCGGCGACGAAAACCTTGAGGCACCCATTGACCTCGCGGGGATCTACCAGGACGAGACACTTGCGACACGGCTGAAGGACGAGGCAGTGTCTCTTAAACAGAACGAAGACGTGTCTGTTGAGGAGCAGGTGGCGGAGCTCGTCAGTAGTATCGCTCAGGCGGTACGTATATGACTACAGAGAGGTGATGCCTGTTTGAGACTGATGGGTGGAAATGTGATAGAGCGAGCACCTGGAGCTGATGCAAAAGAAGATCGGAGAGCTGAACTCCAAGTACATCCTGCTCAAACAGCGAAAGAGTGCAGGTGTGTGTGTGGGGGGGGGGGGCTGTCTGTGCATTGCAGATGTAAACCTTGTGTGTGGTCTTTTTGACATTTGTGGTATACAGTAAGCACCGAGCTGGTCAAAACGAACACGTCGAAGGTCAAACTGGAGCAGCTTTGTCGTGAACTGCAGAAGCAAAACAAGCTCATTGTGGTATGTGCGTTTTTTATCGCAAGTTGCTTGCCTTTTCATTCACGTCGACATTTGTCTGCTTTGTACAGAACGAGAGCCGTCGTATTGCTGACGAAGAAGACCAAAAGAGGTTAGCATCGAATAGGATTTGAAAAATAATGCTGTATGGTTATTTCTCTTTGCTTTGCTTTCAGACGCGAACTGTCAGCGCAGTTTCAAAAAACGATCGAAGACGTGAGTGCCAAGATGGACAAACAAGGTCAAGACTACGTGGCCTCTTTGAAAGAGAACGAAAAGTACGTTGGGTGCTGACTAATTGCCAGCAGGGTGCCAACTAATCCTGAACTGAATGCCACAGTCTTCAGCAGAAACTGAAGACATTCCTTGAGCAATACACGGTGCGCGAAGAACACTTTCAGCGTCAACTAGAAGCCAAGGATCTGGCAGTCCAACTCGCGGAAACGAAGCTGCAACACCAGGTGGAGCTTACCACACGTGAGGCGGAAAAAGTGAAAGTCACTCTCGACAAGGCGAAAGAGTTTTCGGATCGCGAAGGTGAGCTACAAGCGCAACTCAACTCGTACTCGGAGAAGTTTGATGTGGTGCAGGAAACCCTGACGAAGAGCAATCAGATGTTCACCACTTTCCGCGAAGAGATGGATAAAATGGCAAAAACGACCAAGAAGCTCGAGAAGGAGAACCTTGCTCTTCGAAAGAAATGCGCTGCCTACGATAGTGGAGCGATTGCTTCTATTCAAGAGAAGGTAGCATCCGTTGAGGAGACACTAAAACTGCAGGAGAAGGTCAAGAAGCTCGAAAGTTTGTGTCGTCATCTTCAAGCTGAGCGCAATAGTACTCGACAAGCCCAGCAAGCTCAAACCACTGTCTCTTCTGCTACCGAGTCGGCCAGTAAAGGAGAGCACTGACCGTGCCAAATATAGTCGCTCCATCCCAGATTTGTCGACTGTAATAGATCCTGCATCTTCAGCCCAAATGATGTAACCGTGTATTCCCGACGATGCTCCCGATGACCTATTAATTATCTGTTGTGTTCCACAGGGGTCAAGCGGCTAGAATGAAGTCCACCGTAGATAATTCGAAAAATGGAGGTGCATTTATGCACAACACTTCAGTGGCGAAGTATATGCAAGCGAAAAAGCGCATTGGCGGCAAGGATGCTCCTATCAATTATTTATTTGAAGAGCGAGTATTTTGTCCGGGTGACACAGCTCCTCACAAGGCGGCAGCGAAGGCGGAGGTTCTAGAACTGCTTCGCTCGCGCATTCTTTCAGCAGAGAGACCGCAATGGGACCAATCAACTTCGAACTGGGACAGCATGCAGATGACTGGCAAATGCTACAAGCGCACAAATATTAACGCAGAGGTGCACTTTCCAATTGAGCGCACTCTTGCCTAAGCTAATCTCTAAATTTGGTTATTACGTTTCCAGCGAAACATGTTCAACTACAACTATCGAGCCGAGAAGCTGCCAAAGAAGAACCCGACACACCGACCTAAACCAAACTGCTTCAATACAGGTATCATGGAAGTGGCCATAAAGGACAAATACGTCGGTGAAGCGTTCGGGGACGAGCGTGTGATGAAAGTACGTGTCACTTGTTCTAGGATCGTATGACCACGATATTTACAAGGATTATCCAGGGAATCGCCAAGTGCACGGAGGAGCTGCCCAACCATCCAAACTTGCGCGATGCTAAACCTTGGAATCAATCGGTCGAGCTAATGAGGAAATCTCACAAGAAGCACGTATGTCGGCAATGTGATGTCATGGCTGCTGAGTACTGCTAAGTAATTTGCTGGAATATTGATTCAGTTTGATACATTGGAGGCAGCGCGACTGACCAACAGTGAGAAATGGCGACACTTGGTCGGGGCAAGAGACATTTACAAAAGTCCAGAACTGCTATCAAAAGAGCTGTCAGCCCGCAAACGCCAGGAGAAACAGGGCATTGTAGCTGCAATAACAAAATCAGCGTCCTCGAGCTAAATTAATCATACTTCAAGTAGTTTTTTTATGTTCCTGTGAATGGACGCGACTGTAGATTTCCTCTCACACACCACTACAGCATTTAAGCCAAGATGACGATGCCGACTCCTCCTGAATCGCTTGTGCAGTATGGCGAGCCGGTTTTCACGGGCGAGAGGCTCGATCCACCCAAGAAGGTCCCGGGTGTCTCCAATTCAGGATCTTCCTCGAACTCAACCACCGCAGCAAATGTCGTGGCAGCAGCAAGTGAATCGGCTGGATCAACCGCTAATGGTAAAGGCCCCGATGGTGTCGCCCGGGTCGAAGACATATTAAATGCCATTTTACCTCCACAGTACGCAGGCATTATTGTTTCCCCGCTCGATGTGTAGAACTAGGTTAAGCTCTTACTTCTGCGGTTCTTAGGATGTGGTCTGAAGAAAATTCGGGGTTCTGGCTTCGTTACGCATCGAGTGTTCTCTCGACTCGCTTCGATGTGTTGAAATTGCAGGCAGCTCTTGATGCCAAGCTACTACAACGGCAAGCTCGCGAATGTGGCATTTGTCCTGTTCGAGAGTATCTGTACTCGCAAGCTTTCGATGAACTAATCCGTGAGGTGACACTTAATTGTCCCGAGAGAGGATTGCTCTTATTGCGTGTTCGTGATGAACTGCGACTCACAACTGATGCGTACAAGATGCTCTACGACTCAAGTCTGATCTTCGGGGCTCGGAAACAACTACAGGCTGAAGATGGCATGGGAGATCTAGCAGAGCAGACTGCAAGTCTTCAGCGTGACAAGGAGGAGAGCGAGAGCAAAGTGGCTGAACTCACCAACAAACTCGAGGTTATTGAGAAACGTGCAGCCGAACGCAAGGCCCTGCAAGAGAAGAAGTTTAAGGAGGAACTGGACTTTTTCAAGTACCAAGGACAACATCTTGATGCCTTTCTCAAGTCTGCAGGAGGTGGTCCTGGCGCTTCTGCGGGTGCCAAGTGAGCAAGCGCCAAGCTAATAAACACAAAATGAGAACAGAGATCAATATTGATAAAGCAATTTGCTGATTTGCCCCCTATGGACTTGCATATGTAGTCATTCAGCTTGTGATGTTTTGAGCTCCGCTTCGCTACAACAAGGAGGGTGACTCATACTTGCAGCCATTTCAGTGAGAAGTGCATGTGCCGCCGACACATATTTCTTCTGCTCCTGCGTGACCTGGCGACGAACATGCTGCCTCTGTACACGTGGTATCAAGAAACTTTCAACCAGTTCGCGCACCACAGTCTCATCACTGTCTAGTTCATCTTCCAGATGCAGCACAATTCCATCCACACCAGCGCTGCGAATATGCAGCTCGTTCAGTGCTTGAACATGAGATTTCTCTTGCGCAATTTCTTCCAGTACATTGACCACGAAATCGCGAGATGTTTCCTGGTGTATCTGCATCACACGACGGAAGACCTCGTCTTCACGCTCACGCAATATATCTTCAGCTTGCCGTCGCCCTCCTTCCTCTACTTCACGGACACGTCGCTCTTCAGTCGCCTTGATCACGAACGCACGCATCTTGGCCATTTCACGCGATCGAGAGAGCTCTTTCGACAAAAAGTCGAACATTTCAGACACAACTTCACCCTCCACACGTGTTTTCGCTGCGTTGGCCACACGATCAATCCCCTCAGCACCAGATCCTGGGAGGAGGGCGAGCTCATTGCGGCGTTGTAGCACCAGCTGATCGTCCGCTGCACGAAGTTCAGCGATAAGCTCATCACGTCTCTCCTTGCCTTCGAACATCATATTTTGGACTGCACGACCACGTATCAATTTCTGCAGTAAACGCACCACGTCCTCCACGTCGTGCTCCTGTACGTCAGCAACGTGGACAAGCGCGTAGTCGGGTGTGGGTGGGCGTATAACTTGCTGCTGTCTCTTGCTAGCTCGTCGTGATACTGGACTGTTAAAACTCCGGCGAGCTCCACGAGCTGCCTTGTCAACGTCGTTATGTTCCTTATACTTGTTAATAATAAACTCCATCTTGAGGAGGTGAGCTTCAATAGCCGCTTGTTTCCTTTCCTTGGCAGTACGGCCTCTCTTCTCACAAGGTTTGTACTTACCGGCAGTAGGTTGTACCATTTGTGCAGGCAAGGCGCTCTCGAGCTCGCGCAAAGCATCAAACTGCAGGAATCGAGGCTTCCCGATGCCCGATTCACGAACTTTCACCTTACCGGCCTTTCCATCACGTGTGATAGGAGCATACACTTGGGAACCGAAGTTGGCATATTCAGCAATGAAGTCACGTCCTCGTTCTGGCTTTGGCGTTCCGAATCCGCGTTCGTGTTGCCTCTCAACTCGTTTCTTGGTCAATTTTCTCAGTGCTGTTACCCGCTCCTGTTGAATAGCCTCAAGTGCATTTTCTTTTTCGTGAAGCAGGCGTTGACGAAGTGCTTCGAGTCGTTGCTCCGAAAGAAAAGCGTTCTCCTTTTCTCGCTCTGCCAGTGCTTGTTGTAGCAGATCCGCACGTTGATCATGGAATGCATCGATCTCAGCTTCACGATATGCCCATTCACGCGTCTCCTGAGCTTCCAGCATGGCCTTACGCAGCAACAAGCTGGCTTCGTCCGTCATAGGAGGTAAAGATGTCTCGAAAGCGCGTTTGTTGCGGTTGCGCTCAATGAGTTCCAGCTCAGCGTGACCAATTGGAAGCTGTCCGCGAGCATATTTCAACCCCACGAGTGCCTCTATCTCTGGTGGAATACCGGTAGCAGTCTTCTGGATGGTATAGTCAGGTGTGTATGGATCTGTCTGCGCTTCCGAGTCACGATAGATTGTCTGAATGCTCACAGACCGCGTGGCTCCTTCGAGAACTTCAGCAGCTACATGGGGAGAATTCAATTCTTTTACATCTCGATGTTTGAGTGGCAGTGTGGGGACAACGTATGTAGGCGCCAGTAGCACTTCCGGTGGCTCTGCTTGTAGACGTGGTAACACTGGTCTTCGATGAAACTTGACACGTTCACTGCCACTAATGAGATGGCTGCCTTCTGTTGGGTTCTGGTCGTTAATAGTGCTGCTAGTATTTGCCGGTTTGGAAGGTGCTCGATAGACGCCCTTGCGGTACGAGCCGCCTGAGCTCGAGACTGTATACACTGTGTCTGCAAAGAGCACATATCCAAGTTAACTACGCCACAACAGACGCTTGGCAACACGAAGGAGCCTACCATAGACAGCATCAAGTACCCGGGATGGCACCGCTCGCGACATTGTGCTGGAGTACGTTACACGAGCGGAGTTCTCAAAGTTCGACCGGTAATATAATTTATGGAGAGAACGCACCACGACACCAAAGCCGTTTTCAGCGAGAAGGCGCTCCGTGTAAAATAGCACATGGCAAGCAATGGCACCAAACGGCATGTATTTTCTTTAGCGTAGTGTGGAGGATCTTCAAAAAATGTGCGCATGTGCTAACCAGCTTCGTTTCTCTTAAGAAGAGACACTTTTTGCAAAATTAAGTGCGAGTTGCTTGGAATGGGTCACACAGTCAGCCAATCCAATACCATAGAAGCTATTGCCACCCAAAAACAGACCCGGGGCGTTGCGAGCAATCTGCTTCTCAATACGCTGCAGAGTCTGACCAAAGCCCACGTGGTATTGAGGGATTCCGTTCGTCATGGCCATAGCACGCACGTAGTCGGGTTTCTGCGTGATGCCGAGGTGCCGCTTTAACGCATCTAGGGCGTAGCGTTCAAGCTCTCCTTCGGGTTGCGATGCCACATCACGGAAGTGCGCGCCGCCGCTCATGACACTCAGACGCGTCTGCATCTTGCGCTCATTCTGCACAGGGAACGTGTTGGAGTCAAACACTACACCAAGCACCTTCTCATGCTCTGAAGATGGAATCAGGTAGCCGAATCCATCAGTTGTCAGCACATTCTCGTTGTACCCAACATGCACCATGCCCATGTCCACGAACTTGATCTCATTCAGTGCCTCAGCCAAGCCTGCCGCTGTATCCTTTACTACTGGGGCCAAATAACATGCTGGAATCGTAGAGAACAAGTGTGAGGCTCGAATTGGTTCCCGGATCTCCCCAGACGTAGGATCCTTGCTCTCCACCACAAAGCGCGTCCCTTTGGCCGAAGCGCTATTAAGTCCATGAACCTCCAGTCTCGTCACCTTTGTGTTTAGCTGTAGATCGGCCATCGGGTTGTTCTCGATACTGTCTGCCAATGCACTAATCAGTGTACCCATACCGTCGCTGAAGGAGACACTGACAGACTTCTCGTGTTTCTTGACGAATTCCGACTTATTAGTGCCGTCCAGCAGCTTGTCGACCGTCTTGAAGCCACCGAAGAGCACGCCCTTCACCACTGACCCGTGTTTCTTCTCCAAGTCCAACAGCATGGGGAAGCACGAGCGTATGGAGAGCTTCCTGATGTCACCGCCGAAGATGCCAGAAGCCATGGGGTCCAGTAGCCTTTCAGCCACCAAAGGGCTAAACCTCCTGGATATAAACTTGTATATTGACTCGTCCTCGACGGTTCCTGACTTGACGAACATCTCGTGCAATGCCGCACGGGCAACGTCTAGCGACAGCGGCCAATGTAGCACCTCCAGCAGCGACGTTGGCAGCTTCTCCACGTTTCCGTCACGCAAGATGTAGCGCGCCTGTGCTGCCGGGTCCACAGCCTGCATACAGTCCTGCAAATTCAATTGCTCGATGAGTCGCAACATCTCGGTACCATTGCGCGACGGCCGGAAGCCCCTGGGCCCTTCTTCAAACAGAAACCCCCCACGCTTGGCAGTCTGCACCCAGCCGCCTGGTGTGGTGCTGGCGTCCAGCACGCGGATACGCGTGCTGTCGGCGACGGCCTTTGGCAGCGCCTGGCGCAGGAAGTAGGCCAGCGTCAGACCAGAGATGCCGCCGCCCAGGATGACCACGTTGTGAGCAGGCGCCATCAGCATATTTCGGTTTCCACTGAACCTGTGACGGGGTCATACAGCATGAAACGAGGTACGTAGCCCTAAGTGTACCCAGGTTACATGAAGTATGACACGTCATATTATGGGATATTCGGTACAAAGTAACAAAGTACCAAAGCCAACCGTTGGTTAACGACATTGCATTTCTATAGGGGACTTATAGTTTGAATTAAACCCAAGCTTTAGCTACCTATAAATATACTCAGTTTACATTCTACCTTAATTTGGTCACTTCGCTCTCTTTTGAATAAAGAGGGGACCTGTGAGCTGCCGTTCACTGAGAGTTTGTATACTCTCGGAAGATAACTTCCTCTAGCGCAAGGTGGTGTGTGACCCCGTCACACTTGGTAGCACTCGTAGTCAATCCACGCTACCGCGGGTAGACTACCTGAACCTCTCCGAAGCTCGTTGCCATGGACAGGAACGACTTCTCCCATATGAACGACTCTCAGTTCGAGTCGGGCTGGAAGATGGCAGGCATCTTCGGGATGGAGGCCCCGCAGAGCCTGGTGGTGTCAACACCGGCCGAGCAGCTCGAGCGCGTCAATGCGTTCGACGCGTACCAGGGCCTCATCGCGCATGTGCGGGAGAACCTGCAGGCTCCGGCGGCGGAAGCAAATCCGCCTCACCCGAAGCCAATACGGCTGAAGGTAAATCCGTATGAAGGGGAGGAAGGCGAGAACCTTCACTTCTGGGTCCAGGAAGTAGAGCTCGCGATGGACGCGGCTCTGATCTCGACCGAGCAACTGCGTGTTGCTTTTGCACTCTCCAACCTTAGCGGTCGTGCTAAGAGTTGGGTGTACACTCAAAAAGCAGCATCCCCTGGATGTTTCACATCCTGGGCTCAGCTGTGTGAACAGCTCCGAGCCCCGTTCCTCCCGGCGAGCTACGAGTCCCGCCAGCGTTCGCGCTTCCTCGCGTAAACAAGGAAGGCGCGAACTGCACGAGTATGTGCAAGAGATACGGGAGCTCACGGCGTTCCTAGTGGGAAACCCACTCAGCGAACACATCAAGATGACTGTGTTCATGGACGGCCTTAGAGTGGGCCCCGCACGCACTCAGCTGTTCCGGGTGCAGTCAAGCACCCTTGAAGAGGCGATTCAAGTGGCTCTTTAAGAAGAGTACAGCCATCGCCAGGCGCGTACGCCGGCCTCAGCGTGGCCTGGGAGTTCCTTGTCGGCTCCCGGTCGAACAAGCCCCAACGGACCAGTCCCCATGGAACTCGGGTCCGCCGAACAGCGTAACATCCGCTACTTCGGCTGCGGGAAGATGGGCCACTTCAAGCGCGACTGTCCCGCGGAAAGACTCTGCAGACGGGCCTTCCCCAAGCCCGTCCTCAAGAGTCGCTGGCAGAAGCCAGGATCCCGGGGACAGGGGAACGCAGGGAACCAGTAGGGGCGGGGCGCCCTACTGGGGAAGAACTAAGTCTTCGTGATGGGTGCGCGGGTGGCGCGTACCACGGGGACTTAGCCCCTGAGAGTCTTCGCACTCTCGAATCGGCGAAGAGCAGCGGCGGGTTGCTCGTAGTACACGGATGTGTACGGGAATACGATCATCCCTATAGAATCTTGATCGATTCTGGGGCGTCGAAGAATTTCGCACGTCGCCAGACGGTTGCTCGCAACAGCAACAAGTTGTCCGATGCTCTGAGAGAAAGCAAGGGCAACGGGACGGTGTCAGTGCGACTGACCGACGGGAAGGTCGTCACTGTCCTTAACGTCCAAGTGGATCTGGCCGTCAAGTTTGAAGACTTTGACAGCTTCGAACAGCTCACTGTTCTCGATATGGATCCATATGATATGATCCTGGGCATGCCCTGGCTTGAGAAGCACAAGCCCTGGATCAGGCAAGGCAATCGGTGCCAGCCGCCCTGCGCAGTCCGACAGAGCATTGGTGAGTCATGTTCCCACCTCTGTCAGGACCCGGGGCGCCCGCGAGGGCTGCCAGGGTACCAAAGCATCCGGCAGATGCTTGGGAGTCGTCATCGTCTATGACGACTCCGAGGATGTTTTGATGGTGGCCGCGCCCAGAAAAGGCGCCGGCCAAGTGGGTAACTTAGGTCCACAAGCGGGTAACTTAGTTCCGCAGACAGCTGCAGCTGCCACGAACACTGAGAACAGCGTGTTCAGAGTGGGTAACAGAGTTCCACTCACGGTCGCCCAGACCTTAACTGAAGAGGAAGACGTCGGATACGCTTCCTGTGTGGGTAACACAGTACCACACGAGGCCACGAGTGCCTCGGATGTCGTAGCGCCGACATCCCTAGACGTGGGCAGCAAAGCTCCACGTCACGTCGCCGTCGTCAACGACGCCGACGCCGCCTCAAGTCGGATCCGAACGTCGTTCAGATCGACGTCGCTTCTAGCGACTCGGAGCCCAGGGCTCGGGCTCCTCCGACAAGGCCGGTGGAAGAGTGTTATCACATTGTGGTGTAGCGGGATCAGCAAAATCTGCGAGATAGCTGGATCCAACTTACCAACTGCGCCCAGACACCGACTAACGGAGGGGGTCCCCCGATGATCCGTGTTCTGCTGAACTTTCCTCACCTTGTGTACCCGTCGGTAGGGCGGGATCTTGCTCTCTCGGTAACTTTCGAAGAGTTCAAGTGGTGAAGCTTGAGTGTCTTGGCGAGACGTGGGGATGGGGTGGAGCAGCAGTGGAAAATCTTCACTCTGCGTCCGTGGATGGTTCCGAATCCTAAGCGAATATTCGAGCTTATGGATCCGGGGCCTAGATCGTGGATCTGGCCGTAGGGTTGCCTTGCGGGTGTGTTCCCTTGCCTTTGTAATTTTTTTTGCGTCGTACTTGCCGCCTCCTGTGACGGGATCTTGAGAGTTGAGAACCTCTAGGGTGTAACCGACCAAGAAGTAAATTCGGTTAGCCTGTCGGATCTGCACGTGTATAGGAAAGCTCACTAGGTTGTAGGATCTGGCCAATGTATTATCCAGTTATCGCTACCAACACTAGATTCGCAATTCCTAACCTTCACGGAGCTCGTACGGCCAATGTAGTTCCGGTTCTTGAGGGCGGGAAGGCACTTGTGTGTTACTGTGCAAATTGAGGACTGTATTGATATTTAAGCCTATACCTGCCTGGATTTCTACCTTCTATGTCTTTCATCTGCTAAATCGCTTACCAGGCTCGGCTGCATATCCCTTCTTCCCTTGACCCATCATCCCAGCTGTGTTATCTTCAGATCCATCGGATCCATGACGTAATCATCATGGTCACCCTATTATGGGTACACTCATCCGGATCCAGGTCGCTTGGATCCACCTCACTGTAATTGTACACTCGCCGTGGATCCGAGCTCTGTAATCATCCAACATCATCTTGCAACCGTCTGTGATCTCCATTGTCCCACGAAAGTTCGAGATCCACTGCATCCATCATTCCTATACCCTGGATCCAGGTCCCTCAAGGCGGGATCCTCCCTCCATGGATCCGAACTCGGAAGTATGGGATCCGGGGTACCTCGCGGTGGATCCTGACTTCTCGTTAGCCGTATCTACTAGATCCACCTTCGGATGGCACCTACCACCATTCCTTCATAGGATCCACACTCGATCCACTAGTACATAGTATATCCCATATCCACCTAAGTGAATCCAGGTAAGGGTGGATCCGAGATAAGTCTTGGTGGATCTTGCCTTCCCGTACATCGCTCATACCAGATCCATCGTCATTCCATATGGGGTGCCGCTCGTCATGGCTAATCCACCACAGGCAACTTGCACCCGTGCCAAACAACCCAAATCCTCTATAATCACTTGAAATTGTCACTAATTCGGGATAGTGACCCCGCGTCAGGCCCATTCTCTTATTTCTGAGAAAGCACTTCACCACAACATCTTCGATGGCGAGACCGGTTTACCCGTCAAGGCATCTGGTGTCCACTTGGAACCGTTCCCAGAGGTTGCAGAGATACTGAACCTCGAGGAAATGACGGTCGAGGCTTTCCTGGCCAACCTCAAGGCTGGAAAGGTTGCCGAGATGGCGCTCATAAGACCTGAGACCACTTGGGAGGAGCTGAACTCCTCCTCTGTCTTGGACGAGGACGTCCTGGAAGACTTGAACAAGCAACGTCAGACGCGCTTGGATTCCGAGATCCTTAAGAACCCCAAGGATCCGGTGTATCCTTTGGTGACGGAGTATGCGGACGTGGTGAACAAACACCCACCCACCCAACTCCCACCAGATCGAGGCGTACGGCTTGAGATTGATATCGTGCCTGGCGCAAAGTACTGTGTCACGAGGCAATGACCTCTATCGCGCGAACAGTGCGAAGTCATTGATGCCTTCTTCGCCGCGAAAGCGAAGGCAGGCATGGTGCGGGAGTCGAAATCCCCGCACTCGACGCCAGCTTTCTGCGTTTGGACGCCGAACGAAAAGAGGCGTTTAGTTCACGCTTATAACAAGCTGAACAACGCAACGGTGCCGGTCCAAACACCAATCCCACGAAAGGATGTGTTGTTAAACAACATGGCCGGGAGCGTACTGTACAGTGCGCTGGATTTGGTAGACGGATACTACCAGATCCTGCTGCGAGAGAGTGACATCCCGCTCATCGCGGTAAGCACTCCAAGCGGCATGCTTTGGGAGTGGCTCGTCGTACCGCAGGGCCTGTCTAACGGTTCAATCGCCTGGTGACGCAACTGTTCCGCCCTTTGCGTACCTTCGTACAGACGTACTTCGACGACATATTCGTCCATAGCCGTGCCGGGGGAGGCAAGACGGCCATGGAGGTGCATCTAGGACACCGCCGTCGAGTGTTGGACGTGATGCGAGCGAACAAGCTCTACGCCAACATCGACACGTGTGTTTTCGCGTCACCAGCGGTTAAAGTTCTCGGTTGCTTCGTAAGCAACGTGGGCGTTCGGGCTGACCCAGACAAGGTCACGGCCATAGCAGCATGGCCGACGCCCCGATCCCAGAAGGACATTCGAAAGTGGTTGGGCTTGGCCAACTACCTTCACAAGTACAGCGCAGGGTACG